CCTTAGAATCAGCAATCAGTTATCTTTATAGAAATGTGTGTTCTGTTGTTGAATATCCTTCTGATGAAGTCAGATTTATGTCTTAGGAAATTGAGTCTTTAATTGCAATCCTTGAGATGAAATATTGAGTGGACACTCCTATATAACCATGGCTTTTGGATGACCCATTTATAAAGTACAAATATTTTCAGGCGTGGTTAATTTATTTTTGGAGAAGAGCTTTATTTCATGGTGTGGAAGAAGATATTGCAGAAGACAGGCTTCAGTTTTGGATTGCCCGCAGTGGACAGTCACCAACTTCACATGATGCTGTTGATGGTAAGCACTAAGCTCATCATTCTTATCATCTTCTTTTCTGGTTAAGAAGAGTGTGAATATGTTCTTAAGCTAAAAGTGAACAGTCTTTGAAACTCCTGGGTGCAAACAAATTATAGCATATACATAGTTGAGTTGTGTGCTGATTGGTATATGTCCCCCTTAGAAGCTTCCTACTTTGATTATGATGTCATTTTAGAAAGTTATTCTGGATAATAATTCAGATGAAGTTTACCAAGAAAAAGAACAGGTCAGATGAAAATATTAGTCAAACAATCTCATTTTTAGGCTTGGTTGGATCTAAATTTAAGTATCACTACTTATTATATTGACCATCTACGGGTTTGACAATGAGCAATGACAGCTTCTACGTGTGGATACACCAAGAACCTTGATTTATTCTAATTACCTTTTTTAGTTTAAATGTTTTTTTTTTGTTGGTTTTTTTATTATAAAAATATATAGAAGATTAATGTGGCATGATAGAATTTCCGTATTGTTCATTCTCACTGGATATGCATGAATAGGAATTTCTGTTTGAGGCAAATATCATCTAATTATTTAATACAAGGGAGCTAAGATATACTGAATATCTAGATATTTGGCTACCAATGGAAAACAACATTGTATCTGAATTTAATTAGGTTCATTTCATACGTTAGGTATTGCTTATTTATTGGTTTCTATTTTGGATTTTAGATTTTAGATTTCTTGACAATCCTGGGAATTAATGACACTTCTGGCACATCTAAACAAAAACAAAAAATGTCTGCTAGTACGGGCTGTCAAATGGTTGACTATTTTTGTCAAGTCCATGTCCAGTTGTATTCTATGTGCCTGATTTGGTCATGTGAGTCCCAAACTGGTCAGGTTTTCCCATTTTGTTATCTGAATCTACAACATTAGCAATAAGCCTCAATTCAGAAAATAGATTAGTAACATCTGCTATGAATCTGTAATATTATTGTTGGGTAGGCAAATGTGGGAAATTCAAACAGAGAATTGTGTAGGTATCAGCACAAATGTTTTAAGACATATTGCTTTGATGTAAATGGATATTTTGTATATGAACTCATTTGTTTACTCTGCTTCTTTCTAGTTGAGCGAGATTTGTTGGAGTTGAGGAAGCTGGGTATAGAACAGCAACTTTGGGAAGCTTCTCGGAAGGGTATTGATCAGCCTTCAGGGTTGTCGACACTTGACAATAATAAACCTGCCTCTGACTCAGATACTTCATTGTGATTGTCCGAGTCCTTTATTTGTTGATTGATTCTTTACCCTGCTGTATATTTTTGTTTAGTTTTCAATACAAGTTCTTTTTCCTTTTCTGTACACCATGTTTTCAACATTATATTTGGGCCTCATAGAAAGGAAGAATCTTTAAGTTGGAAGGAAGACGGTATTTGTGGTAATAAACTACATTAAACTGAGATTCTTTTCCTCGTTCTTTTAATTGAATTTTGTAACTTGTGAAGCTTGATTGTTAATATTTACAGTTAGTTTGCTTTAGTGTTTTTGATAGCTGGTTATTTGCTTTTACTGGAGTTGCCTTGTAAATTGCTGTTAGTTTTTACTTCTTTTTTTCATAGAAAGGATTTAGGGATGGGATGGGATGGTGTCTCAATTCAAGACAGAAAATACTTTAGAACTCAAAGAATACTCGAATGAATTTATACTGTACTAGTGGAACCTGAACTCGGAACCTCCATATCCAAGATCTTTTTTTGGTCAATCCATATCTAAGATCTATAGATCTATTTTATTTATCACTAGACCTAACTTTTGAAATTGCTGTCACTTTTTACTGTCACTCGTGTTGCCATCAGTTTTTTAAAATGACAAAAATGTCAAAAAGAATTATTCTCTTAAACATAGTGGTCCACTTTAAGATACTTGTATCTTCCTACTACAAAATAAAATGAATAGTTTTCTAATAATAAAAAATGTTATTGCAAGTTGAATAAACACTTTTTGATTTTTAAAAGAAATGAAGCACATGAGAGTTGAACTCTAGATCAATAGTTGCACCTATTTAGCGTAACTGACGAATAACAAATATTAATTGAGTTGAGGTAATCCATCTACTGCATAATAAGATTAGTTTTTTTTTTTTTTTCCTTAAAAAAATATACATTGTATTTCTTTTTAACAATTAAATAAGAGAATTTCTTACCTCCATCCCAGGTGGGAAAATTAAATCCTATGCAATTCCTATAATACCTCTTTAAAATCGGAAGTATATTTTTGGTGTCTATTTTTTTTTTGTTGAAAAATTTGACTTAAAATAGGAAGTATAGTTTCGGTTTTAAACTGATAATATATTTTCGGTTGTGATGCTGCAAGTAGCAGAAAAACCAGGAAAACCAGGTTTGCAAGAAAATAAATTTTTGGTTTTTTTGCATCACAAATTAAAACTTATACAAATCATATACATCACAAATAAAATAAAAGACACACACACACACATCCACGCATGCACACGTGCGCGCACACACACACACACACACAAGCTCCATGACATCGAATCCATAAGGAAATAACCCTCTGTCAATACCATCACGCGCAAGTTCCATGATACAATGACACTTAGGTAACACGTCATGAGCATGATCCCTCCTAGTTTGCTCCTCCTCTAAGATCTCTTGATGAACTGGCTTCAGTGGATTCTCTAGAGCATCCTCTACCATGTACGAATGAGACACCTTGAAGAACTATATAATGTAATTGTATTCGTAATTCAGTCGTCTGGTGTTACGGTACTCCAGGTCTCATCAAGAACAAGATGATTCTCAAAATCATCAAACATAACATCTATATTCCTATGTTTCACAATCAGAGGAGCACATATAACCGGACCTTGGAGAATGGTCTGGGTAAACTCGAACTGACGCATCATATGCTCAGGGATATAAGCAGCTGTCTTGCGAATCCCGCAAGTCAACTAACCTGTAAACAGCGCAATCTCGTTAAACGGTATCGTGATACGGTGTTCGACATATGAACTGAAGTGAATGTCCTCATGCACCAACCGATCAATGTAAACCCGAAGCGACTCTATCACCTGGTTCCCTCGAAGCAAATCGTATGCGCAGGCAAGCGACAGTATAACTCGTAACATATGACCAATCCGAGATGCGGGGGAAGTGCTAATAACAAAATTAAATAGTTAGTTCTAGAATCAAAATAAGTAACAAAGGCCTCAAGGACAAAATTAATACCGTCATGAGTGGCATGATGCCAGTCATCTGCTTCGTATCCCACTTAATGGCGTCATCCAACATGGTATATAAGTAAACCAAGCAAGCAGCCCCCGAGTTCCACTGTTTCATCGTCTCAAAACCCTCAAAGTACCGCAGATACATGATATCAGTGTAAGTGGCACTAGTGTCCACAAAAATATGTGTGTCAACAAGATATAAAAGGTATGCTCTCGTGGCAAACCCCCTTGTAAATGGTAACCTGCTCAGGATTATTGTCATACCCTAAATTTGTCCTATCCTTATAATAGATTTTAAATAAATCATTGTCTAATTTTTATTTCTATGGAGTGTAAAACATCAGAGAAGGATGTATCAATCAAAAATAGACCATCAATATCTGATGGCCCATTAAGCTTTAATAAAAGTCCATTTCAAATTAAGAGAGGTGTTTTGTTTCAAAGGAGGTGTGAACAAGTCTTTTTTTCATAAGACCCATTTAGATGGAAAAATGTATAAAATAATCTTGTTTATTTAAAGCCCAATAATTAACATCTGACCCATTCCTTTTTTTTGAGAGATTTGTTTGTGTTATTGATTATTGATTTGGATTATTTTGTTAGTTGAACTGGCAGGTCCAAAGTAATAGGGCCCATTCTGTTTTCTTTTTTTGGTTTGTTTAGAAAGTTTATTTCTGTTTTAATTACCATTATTTTTTATTATACTAATATTATTTTTCAAACATTACATTATAAATTTAGTAAGTTTGTTTTGTTTGCAAGGCCCAATAACTGAAACGGTATGGTCCATTTCAGTTTTTGAATTTGTTTTGAAAAGAGTGTTTTATTTAATTGTTAAATACCAACATGATTTTTACTATTTTTAAATATTGTTTTTTTATTAAAACATTAATTTTTTAAACGCTTAATTTAGAAATAGGTTTGGTTTGTATTAGGAGGAAAATGTTACAAATTCTCGGACGATCCAGTGACTAAAATGTATACAAATTCAATCGAGAATGCTTGGCCCAATCTTGAGATGTAACACACTTTATTATTCATCAATATTTACTGTTTGAATAAAGAATAATAAACGTGTATCCTGGACCAAATCTTTTTTTCCCGTTGTTCTTGGTTAACACAAACAGAAACAATACGAAAATGAGAACTCCAATAAAACAAAATCAACACTAAAAACATAAACAAATCACTTCTATTAAAATTATAGAAAGACTTGTCAAAATAAAAATAGAAACAAATCATAATTTGTAAACACACTCAATACAACAAAATCAGACAACTTAATTTCTTCCCTAATTAAACTGATTCAAGAAAATGCTATAAAATGAAAATTAAAGAAAGGGAAGAGGGACAAATAAATTACAGTATGAAAAGAAAGAGGAAAATCATCACAGTAAAGGGGGACAAACAGAAAGAGAGACGGAGGAAGGTTACAGTAAAAAGGGAGAAAGATTATAGAAGACTAAAATCATGATAGAAGGAAGAACTGAAAAGGCTTGAAACTCTCAGATCGACGCCCTCGTCCGCTAGCCGCCGCGACCATCTTCACCGCGCCTCTATCAAACCTTCGTCTTCCAAATGCCACCGTCCTCCCCATCGCTGTACCTGCAAATCAAAAGGAAGAAAAATAAGCAATCGGAACCGGATATCGCGAACACAGAAATGCACGATAGGAGGTAACGAGTACTTAGCTTAAGTTTGTTTGGTTGTTGTAGTTTTGGATTAACTCGGGTTATAGGGGGTTAAATCATTACGAAGGAGGAAGAGAGATTAAGATGTAGTGCCGCCGCCTCCGCCGCTTGGATCGATTAGGATTTGTGAATGTTGGAATGAAAGAGATAACAGAGAAGGAGGCGTGAAGAGAGAGAGAGGAAAATCGAGAATTTAATTTGACTATTGTGTAAAAAATGAGATTTATTATTTTCAGTAATCAAATACGTGTTTGTTTACAGTAGTTATCAAGCACCATCAGCCACAACCATGCGAACCCTATCCAAGCATCCAGAACGCACGTCCATGATATCACCGTATGCCCTCCTCACACCTGATCCAAGTGGATCTAAGAAGTGTCATTTGGGCCGAGCCCATTTACTCATTGCACCCTCTGTTTTTTTTGTTTTCTTTCTAACCCACGTTGAACACCCCCAGCTCATTGGGCCTAGTTCAAAATCTGGACTAGGGCCCTGTTGCTCTATACGCCCCCTTGTTTTACTATGGCCTTCAAAAATGCACCCCTTGGCATTTGGGCATGAATTCAATATCTGAATTCATGTCCATGCTATTTGAACCCTATATTTTGCTACTTCAATACATTTTGCACCCCTTTACGTTTGTTAATATTTTTATTTTATTTATTTTATCATTTTTAAATTTTTTTTTATATTTTTCTTAATTTTATTATGATAATTATTACATATATATTTTTATTATATATTATAATTTTTATTTTAATAATTATTATACATATATTTATATTATGTATCTAACATATTTTAATATTATACTTATTATTATTTATTGTTACGTAATTTTCTAAAATTCATTAAAACACTATTTTTGCTAATTGCATTAAAGCTTATTTTCATGCATGCGTTTAAATAAATTTCTCTTTTAAGTAATTAAGATACTAAAAAACATCCAACCAATTACAAACCTGTTTTAAAAACTAAATCGATTCAATAATCAACTTTCGAAAAAAATTGCAAATTTATTCAAATCGACTGCGCGTTTAGTCTAACAATCTCCGCTATTCATGACACCTAGACTAAACATGCGGAAAATGCAAATATCTTTGTAACTCATAAAAAATACAAACCAACTACGAACTACGAATTGGGACTCTGATTCCTCATAAGAGGATACATAGGCATACGACTTAAAAATCGTGGCGAGTTCCCCTAATTAAAATTAAAATCCTTTTCCCCTAATAAAACACTAAAATCCTATTTCCTAAAAATTACGCTTCTAAACCTAGTATCCTTGTGAACAAGGTAGATGAGGGGTGCTTAACACCTTCCTTTCGTCTAGAATCGAGTCAACAACCTAGAATCTCTAACGTATTTGGGGTTATCCTTTATATTCCCTACCTTAGGATAAAAATTAAGGATGACGACTCTGTATTAAAAACCAGTTGCGACAGCTTGCGACTCAACACTAGGTTTAGAAGCATTTCCTTTAGGTTTTAGGGTTTTCTTATTTTATTTTTGGGTTTTTATTTTTTCTTATCTATTTTATTTATTTCTTGTTTATTTTTATTATTGTTCATTATATTTATTCACTTGTGGTGGGATTTTAATTTCGCAAAAATATTTTCAAAAACTCTTAGAAAGAAGGTTCGTCTATTAGCCAAGGGGTTACATCAACCCTATGAGTTTATGTGACGAATTCTCTTAGAGTCAGTGGAATTCCACAAAAGGAATACCTCTTAAGCGAAATCCTCTTGGGAAGTAGGACTTTGGAATGACACCTATGACTCTTTGTACGACCTTTAAACCAAAAACTCATGATGGGACCTTTCATGACCTAGAGACAAAAGTTTCAGTCTGTAAAGAGACTCCTCTTAAGGGAGGCCCTTATGCCTTTCCCTTTAGTGTTATTCATGATACCCTTAAAGAAACCACCTTATGCGGAGGATAGAATATCCGTAGGCCAATACTAAGAACCTACCTTCTAAGGATACCTTTCACAAATCCTACTACTATCTTTAGCCCGTAGGGCTTTCGTCTATATCATCATCCCTATCCTGTAAGGATTCCTCATCGTCTTTCATTGGCCATAATCCTCAAGGAGTTTCTACATGTCTCAATCTCTGAGTCAGCGTAGGGTATCATCACATTAAACTTGTATAGAGTACCCCTAAGTCTACTATCATACTACGTCTACATCGCATTGCATATCCATGAAACCTTTTTACCCTAAAAACCAAAAAAATATACTTTTGCATACCCAAGAATTTTTATACATTTTCATTCTTCATCCATCTTCATAAGACTCATATCTCTTCCACTCACAGAAAACTTCCAACCCTAGTCCAACAAGGTGATTCCTAGATACTCAGAACGAACTCGAGACAACTCACGAAGCAAATGCACCGTTAGCCATAACAATGAAAGAAGTTAAACAAGCCACAACTGAGGATGTCATTGCACCTTAAGAAAACACCCAGGCTCGACCCTGGCTTATAAAAGCTACAATGGAGAACCTTGATGTGCAAGAACACACCATTTTCCGAGACGGGTATACTCCATCCCATGAATCTATTGAGTATCATCAATTTGCATCCCCTATGCCAAAACCTCAAGGGGAAAACCTGAACATGAATACTAAAGAATCCAAAAATCTTGAGGACACCAAAAGATACCGCATGCTGGAGAAGAGGCTTAGCACCATGGAAGGACATGACACTCATAACTTTGAGGTTTCTGATTTATGTTTGGTTGAAGACGTGGTATTTCCTCCGAAATTTAAGATGCCAGATGTTGTACCCAAAATTTTCCCTCCCATATATCTCAATAAATGTCAAGTGAGATCCTCAAGTTGCTCAAGGAAGTCCAAGAGTTGACCAGACAAACTCTCTCCCAAGACAGTCTACCCCAAATTAGGGTTTCATTTTACATCAAGATGTTTGAGTCCAAAGGATCCCAAATACTCACCATTGTCCTAATATGTTCTCAAGATCATCTAGGTCAAGTTTCAAGCCTTGCAAAGGAAGTTTGATCAGTCAATTGCTCAAATGCCTGAAAATCGACCGTGCTAGGGCAAAAGTCAACCGTGGCCCACATACAGTCAAACTTCAAGATTTTTGGTCAACATTCTCATTTTTAAGTAACATTCATCATTTGATCAAGGATTGATCACGATTCATCAAGGATTTCTCACAATTCAACAAAGCCCAAAAGTTGCTAAATTAGGGTTTTGTAGGAAAAGTCAACTCAACTTTGACCAAGCATAACTTTCTCATACTTTATCAAAAATGACCCATCCAAAGCTCATTTTGAAGAGGATTTGAGTCTCTACAATTCATATTCATCTCCCAAGTTCAAAATATGCACTCACAAGAAGATATGAATTTGGACATTATAGGTCATTTTGGAAAGTCAACAAAAACACCTTTTGGGTCAAAGCTTCATACATAAACATGGAAGACTCAATTGAGATGAGACTAAAAGGGTTACTTAGAGGACATTCTAAGCTTTCTAAAAAGTCCAAGAACACATCTCTAGGGTCAAAATTGAAAGAGTTATGCATTGGCCAAGTTGACCCTTGTTGCAAAATTGCCAAATGTCAAATGTGTCCAAAATTGCATTTTTTGCTAAATGGGCCCAACTTTTTATGCTTGCACTGAGTTTGTAATGTGATCCACGACCCATGAGCCCTTCCACTTGTCATTCTTTTATTTTGATTTTATTTCATTTAAATCAAATAAAATCAATATAAAATAATGAAAATATCAAAAACTAATTAAACCTTGAGATTTTGTGCATGATTAGAGTCATTATACTGTTGGAGACAAAATCAAATCGTGCAAGGCTTTATATGGACCAAAAAAGATTGAAAATGCTTGTTTTTGGAAAGATTTGGTGCAAGGATTAAATGGATCAATCTTCATAAATGGCAAAGATTGGATGCAAATATCAACCATAATGCACTCTAGTATACATAGGGAATAAAGGAAGACCAAAAGGAGGGGATTTGGAGGTCATAAAAATCACCAAGCAAACTCATACTTTTGGAAAAAAAATTGTGGATCAATTTTCAACTTAGGGGACGACTCAAGAAGATTCAAAGTCACCAATCAACTCCTGGACATCCTCTGAAGCGATTGCAAGCATCACTAAGCCTCCACGAGTCCAGGAACACGCTGCACAACCATCACAGTTTGTTTCTCTTTCAAAATCCTATTTACGACTCTTGCATTATAAATATGTTTTAATGGTATGTATGCGTTTGTTATCATGTTTGCAACATATTGATCTGGTTCAATTGATGTTTGAGGGCATATATTGACAATTGCAATTGTTAGGGTTTGAGATTGTGTTTTAGGGTTTCTTGATACAGGCAGAATCAGGCCAAGAATTGGATACTGGAACGATCGTGGCATCCAGACCAATCGATCCCTGGTCTTTAAATCTATTTATCATGCGTATTTTTGATGTTTGAGGCACGCAGGTTATAGTAACAGCGCCATGTATGTAGGTAAAGGTTCAGAGTTTTAAACGACGGTTCTAGGGAGGAAGACGATAGCGTGTCACGGCCTGGCTGGCTGATTCAAATTCTGGCGCGTTATTCTGGCCAGAAGCCTGTAGTTCTGATCTACTTGTTTGTTTCTATTATATTGACAAACTAACACCCAACGCAGTTGGTCAGAAGAAGGAAGTTAGAAGCTAATGATTCTGGATTCAATCGCAGGCGTGAGCTTTTGGAATTTTCCCCTTTGTTTTCACCAGACCCAGCGCCTGCACTTTCTGAGGGTCATCTTCTGGTTCCATCAGCCAGAACCAGATCAGGCGTTCTCTGGTTATCTTCTGGACCCATCAACCAGGACCAGATCAAGCATCCTCTGGGCATGATTCTCTGGACCCATCAGCTAGGACCAGATCAAGCATCCTCGGGGCACTATCCTATGGAGTCATCAGTCAGAGCCAGATCCAGCACACCCCATCTTCTGAGGGTCATCATCTGCTGGATCCACCAGCCAGGGGCAGGCCCAGTGACCCCATCTTCTGAGGGCCACCATCCTCTGGACCATCATCCTCTGATCAGAGCCGCTGACAACAGGCCCTTGGGTTATTTCTTATTTTTCTTTAATTTTCTTTTCTTTAGTTATTCTGCTTTTTATCAACACCAAAATTACTTTTTCTAAAAATAACCAACCAAAAATCACAAAAAGAAGACTCATTTTCTTAATAAGCATTTTTTTAATTAATTAGTTTAATTAATTCAAGACAATTCTAATTTCTTTCACAATTAAAATTAATTAGAATTTAAGATTTTCTTTTTTAATTCAATTATTTCATTACTTTCTTAAATAACAAAAAATGACAAAAAAATATGTTTACTTTAATCAATTACAATTAGGTTCAGTCATGGGTCAAAACCCTAGTCGCTTCGTATTTAATTCGCCGCGCGCTGATTATTTATTTTTCCAATATTGTTGTAACTGTTCATGGTTTATAATAATTTAATCTAGGGCTTCTATTTATCGCTTTTCCCGGGTTTTTGGTTATGTAATTAATCCCCCTCCCTGAAGCCTTGTAATAGCGTAGATTTACTTTCTCGCATTTTAATTCTCGCAAATATTTGACTGTTTAGATGTATGATAATAGGATTGCATGGCAAGAATGCATGATAAATTAATACGGCTAGAAAACCCTAAATGTGCAAAGATAATAACTGAAATCAAATCACTCGCACATGTGCACTCCCAGGGTATACTCTCACTTCGGTTGCCTTCGGTAAAACGATCATTAAGTATAGGGTGTCTTAGTGGTTTCCCTCCTGTCTAACAAAGATCAAAAGTCCTGTTCAGAAATGTTGCCTCAGAAACGTTGCCTCGGAAATGTCGCCTCGAATATGATCTTAAGACTCTAGGGTTATTACTAAGGTGTCCTAATATTGCTTTAATGATCGTACGTCCCTTACGAATTGACCCTTACAAACTCCAACGACGATGCTACCTATTTCTCAATAGTAGGATAACATTGTCTAAAGGAAATGAGAATAGAAACAATCTTTTTTTGAGTAGGTAGATGCTAGTAGGTACTTGCTCAAATCAAACTTTTCACACTTACACTCTTCAAAACAATTTTCGAAACAACTCCGTCACACCTTTGAGGACTAATACAAAGGTTATCACGAAGTCAAAACTTTTCAAAACAAAGCACACACACAAGCAATTTTAAAAAGATGAGCAAGTACCTAAGAGCCCATGGAAAACCATGGATAGAAAGGGTGCTAACACCTTCCCTTTCTATAATCTACCCCTCGTACTCAGAAACATCTCGAAAAATGATTTTTTCTGTACTTTTTTCCTTTCCGATTGGATGAAATAAAAGTCGATGGCGACTCTTGCTTACCGCGACATTTTGCAAACAAAAAACGCAAAACACAAACCAGTATTTAACAGTCGGTTCTGCCACCGTATCACAGAACTGGAGACTCTGCTGGGGATTTTATAAGTGGGGTATACCTTAGGATCTAGTTCATTATAATTGCTTCTCTTGTTTGTTTTGGTTGCTTTACTTTTAAGGGTTTTTGTTTGGGAGTTACTATAGATCCTAACCCGGATCTGGGGACACCTTTTAGGTAAGTAGCAATAGACTGTGAGAGAACTGTACGACGTAGACCGATACGGTTGAAGTAGTAGCTACATTGATGTGGCACATTGGTTGGTACCGGTATCCCTTATAGAGAAACAAGGAGAATACGGGGCCACTGCATGGTGTCGTTAAGCATCAACTGACCTTAGAACCTTTAATCGACCAACTTGGCCATTAGAAAGTAGTGATATAGCCGGCCTCAGTGTAAAGCTGAGAACTGGTTGATACTCGATGCTACACTCATTGAGACCATACTCTCGAGATAGTTACGGCCGCAAGAAAATATTGCGTGAGCTGAAACCATGACCGATGGAGGATGGTCAATGATATTGAGATCCTCTAGAACCCGTTTACTTTTTCTAGGACATGTTGAAACCAACTGAACTTCAAGAGGGTACTACCTTTGAACTCATGCAAGCCTTAAACTTAAGGGCTTTGTGTGACTTGTTTGTCTTTGCCATGCCTGTTATCTGCTATACCTGTTATTTTTTTATCATGACATCATGCATCATAACTTGGCATTCATACTTCATTATACTAACCATTTCAAAGACCGAGGAAATTTATCTTTGTTCTGTTTTGCAGATTATGGCTTCCGTGCGCAGAAATACCATCCGAGTTAACTTTGTGCAAATACCTGCTCAACTTAAAGAGTTAGCCTCAAGAGTTTCTGAGACTTCTATGTTCATTAAGAGACATGGTCAGCTTCTTAGCCTGGTCACCTCAAATCTTGATGAGCAGATGATGAGTGTACTTTTCCAGTTCTTCGATCCCAAGCATCACTGCTTCATCTTTCCAGATTACCAGTTGGTTCCCACTTTGGAAGAGTTCTCTCACTTATTGGGCATATCCATCCTTTCACAGGTACCTTTCACAGGTATGGAAGAGGTTCCTAGACCAGAAGACATTGCCTCAGCTCTGCATCTGAAACGAGCTGATGTAGTATCCAATTGGGAAACACGAAGCAGGGTCGAAGGTTTCTTAGCCAAATTTCTGATAGATCGGGCTCAGCTATTTTGGGATAATTTGGATTTTCAGGCTTTTGAAGATATCTTGGCTCTCCTTATCTATGGTTTGGTTCTCTTCCCGA